GAATCAGTTATGTTGTGCTGTGTTAGCTGCACAGTCAAGTCCAACTCTTTGCGACTCGATGGACTGTAGCCCATCAGGCTCCTCCGTCCATGGAATTCTCCAGGCAAGAATACTGGAGTGGGTTGTCATTCCCTCCTCCAGGGGAATCTTCCCTACTGAGGGATCGAACCCAGGTCTCCTGCATTGCAGGCAGATTCTTTGCCATCTCAGGCATGGGAATCACACACACACACACACACACACGTTCACTCTTCTTTAGATTCTTTTCCCACATAGGTCATTACAGAGGGTTGACAAGAGTTCCCTGTACTATACGGTAGGTCCTTACAAGTTATCTATTTTACATGTGTGTTTGCGTCACTCCCAATCTCCTCATTTATCCCTTCCCCCCTCCCCTTCCCCCTTGGCAATCAAAAGTTTAAGAAACCGGTTCTGCAGCTTTTCTCTGGCTGCTCTGGGCCCAGTTCCCAGAGCCTGCCCCTCCACACTGATCTAGCAGGTATAATTATCTCCCTGATTAGACAGATACAACTCAAGAGGCTTTAACACTGTGTCCCTCACAAGCTTTCTTCTAACACTTCAGGTTGGGGGCCAATTGTTTTGCCACATTTCATGGGTCACTTTCTGCAAATTGACCCCAACACAGACATGTGCAAAATGCCGGGAAGTCTCATGATAGCTAGATGGGTAAATGAGTTTCTATGCTTGCAAATATTTACTGAGCCTGCCTGTGAATATGTTATTTGTATTCTACCGAGAGAGAGAATTAGAAAACTATTTCCCACCCGCCCTTGCACTTAAGAGTGGTCACATGACTTTGTATGGCCAAAGACATAAAAGGAAGTCTGGTGGAATGATGTTCCTGATTAAACAGAGAATCTTCTCCAGGTATTTGCAGGCAGATTATCTTCAGAAAAAATGAGATGTTACTGCAAATGCAGAGAGGGCAGTGTACTCCTGAAATGGTGGTGGTGACATCAAGTTCCCCCTGAGTATACAGTGTACAAACCTCCGGATGGAAAGCAGAGGGTGTCCAGTGATGTAATAATAATGGCGGGCAATCCCTTTTGTCACTACTTGCTGTGCACTATTTTAAGTGCAATACAAATGATAACTCATTTCAGCCTCAGCACAGGATCAAAAGGCAGGTATTATCATCTCCATTTACAGACAACCAAAGTCAAGCACAATGAGGTTAAGTAACTTGCCGATGTAGATAGTAAGTGGCAGAGGACCTATCAGAACCCATGTGACCAGGCTTCCTAACCAAAAATCTCCACTGTGGACTTCCTTGATGGCCCAGTGGTTAAGAATCCACCTGCAGATGCAGGGGACACAGGATCGATCCCTGGTCTGGGAAGATCCCACATGCCACAGAGCAACTAAGCCGGGGTGCCACGACTACTGAGCCTGCGCCTACAGACTGTGCGCCGCAACTAGAGAAGGCACTGCAATGAGGAGCCTGAACACTGCAACTAGAGAGAGCCCACACACAGTAACAAAGACCCAGCACAGCCAAAAAAAACCTTTTTTAAATAAAGCCTTCATTGTGAGCTACACTTAAAAGTATGAGCCCAAGGCCGCCCTGTAACAATAATAAAAATTATCGCTACCACATACTGAGCACTTACTATGTGGCAACCTGAGAGCCTAGCGTAGTGTGTTACGCTCCAAAGACGTCCTGTGCTCAGCACCATGACTGTGTTCACCGAAAAGCTGAGAGGTGACTAGACTTGACCTCTGTCACATGACTGGTAAGGACCACGGAGGTCAGAGGTACAAGTCTGTAAACCCCCAGACACTGGATCACACCTCTTGGAATAGCTCGCAGGAGACATTTCTTTTCACTATTAACCACACTCAGTAACCTGTTCTCAAGGACACTACTGGCCTCTCCTGGGCCATGTGTGATAAAGGCCACGTGTACTTGGCCACAGAGAAAAGCAGGGCACGGAAGGAAACAGAGCAGAACTCCACACCCAGCTGCTCCTAGATTCAAGGCCATGGTCCCTCCCTTGACCATCAGGCCCTCGGAGCTAGAGCAGGCCCTTCCTCACCGCTGTGGCCTCACAGCCTCGTCTCTGCTCTGGAGGAAGCCCTGTTTCTCAGAGCCTCAACAAACACTCTTCTCTTGGCCTAGAATGTTCTTCCTCATGCCTCCCTTTGCCCCACTACACATTGTTCTCTTTCCCTTAATTCCTACCCACCCTTCAATGTTTAGCCACTGGGCTGGATAACAAGACAGCTCCGTGATCTGCTGGTAAGATTTCAAAAAATCAAATAAAAAAGCAAAGTACAGGACAGGGTGTGGAGTAGGCTGCACTTTGTGTAAGGAGGGGAAGATAAAAATAGATATTTGTATTTGCATAAAGAAACCTTAGAGGATACACAAGAGACTAATACGAATGATTACTTAAGGGGTGGAGGGACAAGGCGGGCAGGGAAGGGGGCAGGAGAGCGCTTAGTGTGTGTGTCTTCACATGCGCACACATGCGCAGAGGCACGCACGCAGAACTGACTTCTGAAGCTTACAGATGTATGACCTACTTTGTAAAAAGTATCCCGAAAACAAAGCAGGGGGCTTCCCTGGTAGCTCAGTGCTAAAGAATACACCTGCCACTGCAGAAGACATGGGTTCGATCCCTGGTGGGGAAGATCCCACATGCTGTGGAGCAACAAAGCCTGTGCACCCAACCACTGAGCCTGTGCTCTAGAGCCAGGGAACTGCAGGGCTGAAGCCCAAGTGCCCTAGAGCCCGTGCTCCGCAACAAAAGCAGCCACGGCGATGAGAAGCCCGCGTACCACAACCTGCGCAGCAGTGAAGAGCCAGCACAACCAAAAATAAACAAGTAAAATTTAAAACAAACAGAACAAAACAAAGCAGGAGCGAAGGGCAGAGGGTAAGAGGTGGCCTGTGACCACAAACCCGAACACATCCACCTGTGGGACTCCTTGATAATGTCCGACTCACCCACTGGCCCTCAGGACCCCTGAGGTCAGGTCTGGACCCACTCGGGCTGCCAGCCAGGAGCCTGGCACGCAGCTGGTGCCCGAGAAAAGCTCAGAGTGAGCGGCAATGGATGCACCATTCAACTCACCACCCGCTGCACACCGGAGCTTAGCCCACTGCTTGCCGGTTTCCATGAAATAAACTCATGAGTACAGAGGAAGGGAACACAACTACTGCACAAGAAAAGGGCTCTCAGACACACTGCTGAAAGAAGAGAGCGTGCTTCAGGGGTCAGCCACCTTTTCCTGTCGATGGTCAGACAGTAAATCTTTTTTAAGTCTGGGGGGGTCACACGGTTCTGTTTCAACTACTCAACTTTGCCCTCTCGTGTGAGAGCGGCCCTGACAATAAGAGCACGTCTGTGCTCCAACAGGACTTCACTCACGGACACTGAAACCTGAAGTTCATCTAATTTCACATGGCATGAAACACTCTTAATTTTTTAAAAAATTTTTGTGGCTGCGTCGTCTTAGTTGTGGTACGTGGGATCTAGCTTCCTGACCAGGGATCGAACCCAGGCCCCCTGTATTGGGAGTGCAGTGTCTTAGCCACTGGACCACCAGGGAATTCCCACAAGGTGGGTTCTTAACCACTGGACCACCAGGATAATCCCCTGATTTTTTTTCTTTTTTTAACCATTAAAAAAATGTAGAAATCATTCTTAGCTCCTGGACCATCCAGAAACATGCAGCAGGCTGAATGGCCCACAGTCTGCAGTCTGACGCCCTGGGTATAGAGAATGGCACCATGCGCATGCTTGTTGTATATACACAGAGAACTTTAGGAAGGAGACAGGTCACAGTGGCTGATTCTATGCAGGGTTCAGAGATGGACAAGGCAGGAAATTCATTTTTTTATTTTTAAATAACGTGGAGCTAGTGGCAAAAAACCCGCCTGCCAATGAAGGAGACGTAAGAGGCATGGGCTCAATCCCTGCATCAAGGAGATCCCCTGGAGAAGGAAATGGCAACCCACTTCAGTATTCTTGCCTGGGAAATCCCATGGACAGAGGAGCCTGGTGGGCTACAGTCCATGGAGTTGCAATGAGTCAGACACAACTGCAGCAACTTAGTACACAGCACACCATCTGTGAATTAACAGAGTGCTGTCTTAAAGTTAATACTTAAACAAGAAAGGAGGCCATGAGTGGGGTGAAGAGCCCACACTCAGGAGTTACAGACCATGGCTGGAATCCCAATTCTTCCTCACCTGCTGTGGACCCAACAGGCAAGTTATTTGCCATCTCTGAGCCCCAGCACCATCGGGATAAGATCAGTATTGGCTTCACAGGCAGTTGGGAGGCTTCCACGGGTTAATAAGCCTTTTGCACAGCGCCAGGCACCTGGAAAATGCTGGCTATTATTATCCTCATTAAGAGTCATTCATGGGGAAGAGCCTTCCTCCGAAGGGAAGCCTGAAACATAACTGCGGCTGTAAAATTCCCCTTGAGAGTCCGCCCAGTCCCACAGCGAGTCATCCGACTGTCCACATAATGGATGCCTTGTGACGTAAGGAAGCTCATTTGTATTAGCAACCACATTCCACAAAGATGCCTCCTGGAGCCACGTCTGCACGTCCTGTTTGGCGGGGAAGGAGGCCAGTTTCCTAGCCCGGGGTCTGTCCCTTAGTGTCACACGGGGTGGACTGCGGCCTGCATCCATGAGACCACTCAGTGCCCATTTATTAAACGCATGTGCCAGGGCATGCAGATAGACACCCCTCTGCACCATGCCCTGGAGGCTGCAGGTGCAAACATGGGCTTCTTTTAAATAAACTGATGCGGGACTTCCCTGGCAATCCAGTGGCTGGGGCTCCAAGTTTCTACTGCAGGGGACAGGGGTTCTATCCCTGGTTGGGGAACTAAGATCCCACAGCACAGCCAAAAACAAACCAACCGATGGAATCAGAGGGAAGGTAGATGCATTGGTGGTTGCTCCTATAATCCTCTGCTTTTCCTGTGTGTTTATTCATTCAACAAATATATACTGACCTCCGAAGAGCCAGGCATTATTCTAGGTACTTGGTCTTAACGAGGCCCCTTGTCTTCTAGCTGCTTCCCTCTGAACTTTGAGACCTGTCAGGAAAAGACCTTGCTCATTATTGTTCCCTCCGTGTCCTCTGTCCTTAGAGCGGGTCATGGTACAAAGCAGGCAAATAACCAACATTAATGGGGTCAAATTACTGAGCTTGGAGGACATCTGGGGTCTGGGCCTGCCCCAATTTTGAGTGACAGCAGCCTACTTCTAGGAGAAGAGCTCCTCCCCAGTTCCTCCTAGCTTGGGGAGGAGGGGGCTGTCAATCATGGGACTCTGCCCCCCTCACCAGCTTCGGCCAATCAGCTGGTCTTGCTCATGAATTTGGACTTCAATAAAAATAATGATGACAGTAATTATGGCAATAAAATAAAAGCAAAAGCAGGTAATATTTATCAGAGCCACATACCCTGTACTAGGCACTATCCTAAATCTGTCTCAAGGATTAACTTATATCCTCACAACCACCTTTTTTTAAAATTATCATCTTATTGTTATTTTTTAGCCATATTGTGCAGCGTGTGGGGTCTCAGTTCACCAACAGGGGGTCAAGTCCACGGCCACTGCTGTGGAAGATGGAGTCTTAACCACTGGACCACAAGGGAGGCCCCAGTCCTTCTGTTCTTACTCCCGGTCTCACAGCTGAGAAACTGAGGCACAGAAAGGTTGGGAAACCTCTGAGTAAGCAGTGAGGCTGGGATTCATCCTCAGGAGGCCGGCTGTGGAGTCAGAGCTCCTCACAGCTCCCCTCCCCTGGCCCCTCGACCCCTGAGATGGCCCTGAACACCCACCTCGAGGTGCCCCCAAGCTGCCTGACCTCGGTTTCACTTTTACTGCAGGTGGCCCCAGCTGGTTTCTGTTGCCTGCAACCCAAGAACCGGACTGATAAACCCGGAATACTTACTTGGTTTCACACTTTCTGCCAGATGGGCAGAGCGTGCCTCCAAGTACTACAGGGCAGGAGCAGCTTATGAACATTTGAGGACGTGGGGTTGGTGGTCAGGGCATTGGGGGTGGCCTGCAACTACCAGAGCAGCCTCTTTCCACAGTGGGGAGGAAGGGGGTGAGGGAAGGGAGGGGAAACCCAACAGGATACAGAGAGCAAGGAGAGAACCAAGGGGACTCATTAGGAGACAGCTCTCTCCAGGGGGTGGGGTGGGGGACTGTTGCTGGCATTTTGGGTGGAACAATCCTTTGTTGGGCTTTCCAGGTGACTTAGTGATAAAGAATCCACCTGCCAATGCAGGAAACGCAGGAGACAAGGGTTTGATCCCTGGGTCAGGAAGATTCCCCTGGAGAAGGGAATGGCAACTCACTCTAGTATTCTTGCCTGGGAAATCTCACAGACAGAGGAGCCTGGCAGGCTGCAGTCCATGGGGTCACAAAGAGTCGGACACAACTGAACGACTCAACACAAGCACGATGTATTTTGGAATGCATGTTTAAAGTTAACTTAATATATGGAGATGACACAAACTCATGAGAGGGACCCTCTTGTTACTAATCCTCTGCATTGCAGGACATTCAGCATCCTTGGTCCCCAGGTCCTAAATTCCTGTGGTGTCCCTATCATTTCACTGTGAGATCAAACCTACCCCCATATGTTCCTGAAAGCCTCCTAGGAATGGAATCCAGTGGCTGCTGCCCTAATACCCACACCAAGTCCCTAGGCCTGGCAGCCCCTGTCCAGCTCTTCCCTAGCTTGGATTCTGGCCCTAGGCTGGGTTCTTTGATTTTCTATTAGCTGTTTTAAGTCCCACAACACACAAGTTTTCATGACCTGTTCACACGGAGAGAGCCCCTGCTACATGCCAGGAGCTGTTCTAAACATCTTACATACATCCATGCATTTAATCCTCACAGCCACCAATGAAGTGGGCACCATGACCAAGGTCACCGCTATCTGACAGATAAGGAAACTGAGCCTAATTAGGCTGCATCTTGCTTGTAGGTAGAGGGGCCTCGCTTGGAAACAGCCTCCTCAGAGTCCAGTGAGGTTGTGACCAGTGTCTGCGGCTTCCCAGTTCACCCTGAAGGTGGTCTGCTTCCCCTCTGCCCAGACGCTGCCCACACACCACCACTCAGCTTTAGGCCTCGGCACAGACACACGCCTCCCCAGGAAGCCCTGCCCCTCCTCACCACCCTCCCCCAACCCAGGACCTGTGTTCCCCACGTTCATATGCTCTCTGTTGTTGTTTAGCGGCTAAGCCATGTCCGATTCTTTTTGTGACCCCGTGGACTGTAGCCCGCCAGGCTCTTCTGTTCATGGGATTCTCCAGACAAGAATATTGGAGTGAGTTGCCATTCCCTTCCCCAGGGGATCATCCCAATCCAGGGATCAAACCTGTGCCTCCTGTATTGGCAGGCAGATTCTTTACCTCTGAGCCACCAGTGAAACCCTCACATGCTCTCTGAGCTCCCTGTATTTCTCCTTGATGGTGTCTTTATCTGTTGGGTGCCTGAGTCTTTCGCCTCCCTTCCCGACTGTCATTTCCATGAAGATAGGGACTTGCTTAATGATGTACCTGTGTCTGCTGGCTCAGATCTGGCCTCTGGAAATACTAGCTGAGTAGCAAATCAACCACTTTTTAAAAAATTCACATTTAAAACTAGGACAGCAAAACACTGGCTGTTAAAACTGAAACCAGGGTGAAGGGGTGGCCTAGAATTGAGGCAGGCAATGAGATCAACAGAGTCACTTGAGCATTTCAGTGGTGGAGCTGAGAAGATGAGGATGTAGCCCAGGGTGCTGCAGCAGCAGGAGGGGAGCCTGTGACGGTATCACTGTGGTATCAACTCAAAAGTCAGCAACAAAATAAATACTGGGGAAATGAAAGCATGAAAGTAAACATACTCCTCCTTCCAGAATTTCAAGCTTTCTGCTCCTGTGCTCACTTTCTGTCCTCATGACAGTAGGGTTAATCAACAGCACAGGCCAGAACCACACCTTCTGTGGTTAAATCCCATCCCTGCCATGAATAAATAACTATATGATCTCGGGCACAGGCCAATTAACTCCTGTGCATCAGGAAAAGGGGGACACAGCAGGATTCAGCTCAAAAGATGGTTGTCAAATGAGCTCACTCATAAACTCGAGGCACACGGTAAGCGCTCAATGAAAACTAGCTGTTACCATCATCATGATCAGCATCACTGCTCTTTGGCCCTATGACCGAGACAGTGGGCCAAATGTGACCTGCAATTTCCTACCCCTGACGCCTAAGCTGTCCGCTCTCTTTGTTGCCAAACTCCTTGGACTCGGAGCCAATGAATCAGTCCCTCTCCAGTCCTGTGTGATCTAAGATGAGTTCTGACACTTAAGATCAAGCGGTCAATGTAACATCCACTTCAGCATTTGAGAAGCCAACCGCCCATCTTACAGCACAGTCCAGAGGTACCAAGAGGTTGCATCAAATGTTTACCTCGCACACACTCAACAATGCACGTGACCCCTTCCTTCCTCCAAAGGGCCAATCATTAAGGTGGGACAAGTGTCCAACATTCCACTTCATGAGCATTTGCCCTGGTGTGAATGTGAGAGGGGAGTTGAGCATACACTATTCCCTCAGGAAGATTCAGCTAGCAGCTCACCACCTTGAGCAGTATTCCAGTGTCTCAAGATACATATTTTCCTAAAACATGGCCTCTCAAGGCAAACCAGCTCCTTCAGGAGGCATTTGTCAGAAAGAAGAATGCATGCTCTGAACCTGGGCAAGAAATCAGCTGTATGGAGTGTAGTGTATTATTAACTTCCTGTTGTCCCTCAACACACCTTCTCCCTTTTCCCTTTAATAACTGAACTCCTTACATGTTAGCCAGACACATGGTTGATGTGAATGTAGACTACATTTCCCTGACTCCCTTGCAGCTAGGTATGGTCATGTGACTAAGTTCAGACCAACAGGACAGAAATGGAAGAGCTGTACTTTATTTCTGGGTCAGCTCGTTGAAGTGTGATAGAATTCAGGAGCTCCATTAATTTAGAGGTGGAAGATTACCTCTTTTATTTTCACTAGCTTCTAACCAAAATTCAGCATTTCCTTCCATTATGAACACAGGCAAACCACAGTAGTTTTTACAATACCTGTGAATTTGTCACCTACAATAGAAATCACAGGTTGCTTTTTTTTTTTTAACCACACTACAGTTCTTACAAACATCTCAAAACAGTATCGATGTCTTCTGGTACTTTGAAATCATGCAGCTATTGGTCCTATCATTGGGTTTTGATACACTAGATCACAAATTTGTTATCTTCCTATTTCAAAAATTTTATTTTGGGACTTCCCTGGCAGTCCAGCGGTTAAGACTCCATGCTTCCACTGCAGGGGGCACGGGTTCTATCATTGGTCAGGGAACTAAGTTCCCATATGCCTCTTGGCCAAAACACCACAACATAAAACAGAAGCAATAACAAATTCAATAAATATCTTAAAAATGGTACACATTAAAAAAACTTTTTTTTAAATGAAACAGTAAATCTTATGGTGTGTGAATTCTCTCTCAAAACAGAAGTAACTAGTGCTTTAAGAAGAAGGGGAGGTTCCCTTTCTCTTATATCCTCCCTTCCCGTGGGTTGGAAGGCACGGTGATGGTGGGGAGTCATTCTGGACCATGCAGATGAGGACAACATCCCAGGAATGGGGAGCAACAAACTGGCAGGAGCCTGGGTCCTCAAGACTGTGGAGCTACCTCGTCAGTCCTGGGCTGCTCACTCTCAAATGTTTCAGGAAAGAGAAATCAATTGCTCCCTCATTGATGCCACTGCTGTTCTGGGTCTATTACAGCAGCCAAATCCATATTCAACTAATACCCAACATCTTTTTTTCTCTTTGCTTTTAATTTTTAAATTATGAAAGTATGATAACACATTTACAGGAGACTTGGAAAATACAGAACAAAGTTACATACAGTTCCACTATATATTATAATTACTTTTTAAGTAGATGAATTAAAATTTTTAGTTGGTGTTTCAATATCAAACTCTTAAAAATTAACAGAATGAATATACAGAAAAGTATATAGTAGACCTGAAAAGCACCATGAACCAATTCAACATAATGAAGATTTATACAATTTTCACACAATAGTAGGATACAAATTCTATTCAAGTTCCCATAGACTATAAACTCAGAAACACTGGAACATATCCTGGGACATAAAATAAGGCGCAAAAATTTCACGGT